CCATGCCTGATGACACGGCCATGCCTGATGACACGGCCATGCCTGATCAGGCTGCTTTCACCCATGAGCAGGCTATGCAAGCCGATGCGGATATGCATGGGGATGGTGAAGCCAATGGTGGCGACAGTGCGCATGATGAGACTGGCACGCTGAAGGACAGTTGAGGTGTTCAATGTGAAATGTGACATGTGCAAAGTATAAAACCCCATGTTCATCCAGGACCCCCACACCGGCCCCAGTGGTAGCTGTGGTCACTGTGGTGATAAGCCTGCACCGACATTTTGGGATGATGAGGCCAAGTGATTTCTTTCGTATAGTGCTTGCTTTCTTTTGCCTCGGCCCTTGATCAACTGTCAATTTGAGAGATTTCTGTCATAACTGGCAAATTGTAGGTGAAGGAGCGCAGGCAAATGCTCTTGGATCCTGCGATGGAGGCTGCAGACCTTGAACTAGTGCATGGTGATGCCGCTATCACGGATGAAAATATGGGTGAGGTGCAAGCAGCCATCTTGAGGATCTTGGACAGGAAAAAAACTTCGCCAGAACATGATGATGGCTGATGCGGCTGATGGACCTCGAACTCATGGGCCAAATACGCCAACAGCCCCATCAGCGGCCAGCACTGGGAGAACCAAAGCAGCCAGATTGGCAGCAAATGCCAAGAAGAACCCCAAGGAGAAGGAGCGCCCCGAAACCAAGGCAGCTGCCAAGAGAAAACCAAAAGCAGCCAGCAAAGCAAAGCCCAAAGCAGCAGCACGCAAGCCAAAAGCCAAAGCACGCGCGACTCCACCAAACGGCCCAGCCACACAGAAGCTGGGGCAGGCTGAGCTCAAAAGGAAGCTGCACAGCGCCTCTTGCCTGTGAGCAGCAAACCGTGACAGTTTTGGCATGCAATCCTTCATGAACTTATATGTTTTCCCTTTGTCAACTCAGGTTTACAGCAGTGCCTGGAAAAAGCAAACGGATCCAGCCAAGAGGAAGACTGATGCACAAATGGCACGTAAGCAGCGCCTTGCCTAGAATAACACAACAACAACTAACAACAATTGAGCATTTACTGACTATTCTTTGTGCTTTGGGCACCCTTCTTCAAACATACTGCCAACCAAGGTGGGCCCGTGAATATGCAGCTGAGCATGGGAGTGAACCCCTTTTGGAGGAATTTCTAGAGCCTGAACAGTAGGCACTAATGCATCAAAGGTGCAACGTGTTCTTGGACGCGTTGATGGGGAACCGCTGATGGGAAGTGAAAAATGGCAGCGGGGCGGTGCTGTGTGGTGGGTGCAACATGCAAAACAATCACACATTGAAGGACCCACTTCCAGATTGGAAGAGAGCCAGTTAGCAATGGAAGTGATTAGTATGTGTTCTTCTATTTTCTGGGGAGGACACCCAACAAAACTCTCCCCTTCCCTTCCCCTCCGACTCCTTCCTTCTGCTCCGTCTCCTTGGTTGCGCCCACGCTCCCGGCGCGGCAACGCTCGCGCGAACGCTCCCCGCTCGAGGCTTCGCGTGCCTTCCCGGCTTCGTCAGCAGCGGCACCTGTAGCCGATGTCCCAGCCGCCTTTGTGCCTTGGGCGAGGTACATTTCTTGGGCGAAGGATGGTGCGAAGATGGCACATGCTAAAAGCAGTGCATGGTGTATTAGGGGTGTGATTTTTGAAGGGAAGGCATTTCTTTGGGCTAAGCTACCATGTGGGTTGGATAATTGAAGAGACTAATAGGAGTTCAAACCGGAACTCCCAGTGTCCTTGGCAAGCACGAATGAGTGCTTTATGACATGTATGGACACGGGGTCCCACTCCCAGTCACTTCATGCATGGTATTTTTATACCACATATATCTACATTGAGGTGATTTTATTGGTCAACGTAGGTACATCCCGCCTTTACCTACAGTGAGGTGATTTCATGGGTCAACGTATACATCATCTACGAGTCCCAATGGAGGGTCAAGACACGACTGGGTGGAGGGAACCGCCGCCACTCTCACCGAGATGGCATCGTTTTGGCCGTGCACGGGGGCCCTCAGTTTCGTTGGGATGCGGTGGGGGGGCATGTGCGTCTTCCTTTTTGGTTTGGGAAAACGGGGGGTTGGGGCTAAGAGCCTAGAGCAGGTTCTGAGTACATGTGTTTTCGTTGCGCTTGTGTTCTTCTGGGTCATTCCTGCTTGCAATCATCCCCGTACAGCAGGAGGCCCCTCGTACAGTATACAGCTTTTTATGACTGACGAAGATCAGAAGAAACCGGAAGCTTCGCACCCATGCCGTTTGAGATCAACGCACGTCATATCGATGCCACCGCCGTTCCTCGAACAGACAGATATTTTATCATTTTACAGCCCACACTTTCTGGTTCAGTGTGCCATTGGCTCATTCTTGAGCCACTCGCCTGTAGTGCATACAGAAATGGTTGACCATAATTATGAACATCCCCCATACCGTACTTAAAAGGTTTATGAAACAAAATGTTTGCGGGGATTCATGAACAAGTGATGCGCGTACGCATCTCAGCTGTAGACAGCTGTCCGATGGGCACAGCATTCAGTTGCATGCCGACCTTTCTGCGAATGGTTTCGTCCGGGGAACCATAGAGATTGAGTCTCTCCTATCGCCTGCAACAGTTGATAAGCAAGCAAAACACCATTTCAGAATGAGGCCTTTACACACCGTCATCATCCATTGTTATTGGTAATAGGACCATAGGATATACCGTGATACACCCAACATAGAGATATCTTGTTATGATCCCTAAAAAAGCAGCTGTTTTTGTCTTCCAGTTGCCTCATGAGGGCGCTCCGGAGAGACACCAGTCACGGGCTGTTGGGCGCTTCAAACGGGCTCCAGGCTTTACTTCGTGGGCTATGTTCTGGTGATCCACCTCTTGATGATCCTCGCAGACCTCACCAACATGAAGGAGACGAGTCATCGTCTGAAAGATGGAGGAATGCCTTCGCGAAGGATGGATTCAGATTTTTCGGTTGTCAACCCCCAAAGACTGCAAAGACCAGAAGGGGGATGAGATGTTCTTGTGTAGCGGATCTATAGGAATGGGTTGCCCTGTTTCTTGCGTGCCTCTCCATCTACCTGACGTTCCTTAGAAATGACCCACCTGAGACCGGAGAGCCCTTCGCCTTGTTCCTTGGGTTTGGCACCAACTCATGGGAATTGATCGTTTTGACCACAGGTCAACACTTTGGGGGGGCGACCGTCTGCTCATCCCCAGCATGGTCACCCTTGTGTTTGTTTTTGGTGAATATGGTGGAGTTGGACGCTTTGGGCAGAAGACTCCACCATAGTCCGGTGTCATGGTCACCGAGTGGGCTTGCTTGTTTGGATCGACTGTGTTTGTTAGGACTGCCATGTGATGCTCCTCAAGATCTTGCTGAACCATTGCATCGCCATGCCGCTTGGTGAATACCTAAAGTTCTCACTCCTGGAGTCACGGAAACCCCCCCAAAATAGAACATTCCCAGACACTCCATGAGACTGCCATATATCATATATGCCGATCAGTTGGGGTGGTTTGGGGGGGTCAATGTAGGCATATATGGCAGTCCCATGGAGTGTCTGGGAATATTCGATAATATTGGTTGTTCTTTTTGATGTTTCAGCAGTTCTATGTTGGGGTTTATGGAAGCCCTAGAGTGAGTGGATAGGGCACCCCGCCATTCGTGGACACTCTTCATAGTGGACACTCTTCATGGACACTTTCGACAGGATCAGGTGGTGCCCATGCAGACACCATTCGTTGGCTTCTTTTTTAGGGTTTCAGGGTCTTGGGCTAAAGACTGGCGGCCACGGACCGTGTAAAAGGAATTAACCCAGTTACCCCATGCAGCCCCAGCAAACCCGGAGGGCCAGTTCAGCAATGATTACAGTGTCACCACAAGGTGTTCAATCAGGTGTTCGCACTATCATGACGAACTGCAGATCTTCAAATCTACAGTACTTACTGCAAGCTTCTCAAGTTTTTGGCCAATCGACCCCCAGCCTCGGGGTTGTGGCCTTCCCACACTCGGACGAGTGGTGACAGCTGGGTTCTGGCCGGACCGACCCAGGACTGTGCTGGGTTCGCAGGTGTGGCGATTGGTCACAGAGGTGCGATCGGGTCACAGAGGTGCGATCTGGTTTTTACTGGTACAGTGCATTGAGTGAATGGTACTGTGGGGGTTGTGAAGTCAGGTGGCGCCAGAGGCGTTTTTTCGTTTGGGGTGGTGTTCGGGACACTCCAACACGAACATGGAAGTGGAAAACCACCTGTTTGTAAAGGAAAATGGAAGGGCCATGGAATCCAATTCCATGTTAAGTGAGTCGGAGGGTACTTTGGATTGCAAGGAGTGGATCATTTTCTTGGATGCACCGGTTTCAGCAGAGGTAGGGGCATACAAGGACCCTTGGTTTGTCCACCACCCTCGTTTGCAGCAGGAGCAGTTCTTAGAGACCACCTCATCCGAGTGGGACGGGTTTTGAGGGCGTCAAGTCTGCTGCTCACGGTCAGCAATTCCGAACTCGTTTTGTCGCGCTGCAAAGTGTTCCAAAGTTCCAGAATGGCGTCGCCCTAGTAATTGGAAGCCCTTCATCCTAGATTCTTCCCAAAGGAAACGAAGCGTTGTAGGGGTCTTTTTTTTTCACCAAATGGGCCCAAATCAGCCTCCCACAATCGGCTCTCATTTCAGGATCCGGTGGGTTTTCTGATTCACCCATTCACTAGGCGTTTCAAGGCTTTTAGGCCAACCTTCGTTCCGAATGTGGAGCTTTCTGCCTCCGAGTCATGCGGTGCATGGTTAAAGCTCGGTGTGCCGAGCGTTTCGGTGTTTTTCTTTTTCTCGGAGCAACCTGAGGGGGAGAAACCCAAAGGGGGGAGGCAAACGCTCAGGGTTTCTGAAGTTGCCAATGGGTTATGACCGATGTTCCTTGATGAGATCCCTGCTAGTTAGATAGTTAAGCCATAACATCCACCCAAGACCCAAACCACAAGGGCGTACCAAGAGGTTCGTGGGGAGAGAGATCAAGAACAGTTTAATCAAACTCATCACCCCGACGATCAGCTGGGCCAGGCTGGATTGCCTCCTGGCGAAGACTCAGACTTGTGGACTCGTGGGCGGGCAAACGCCATGGGGTTACAACATTTGTGGAGGAATGGTGGTGCCCAACACGTCCCAAGACATTCTACATCATGCCCAGTACTTCGTAGACTTGAGGTGTGACGGTTTTAAGGGGTGAATGTAGGTCAGTTGCACCGACATTGCCTGGTTGGAGTCTAGAAACATGCAAATGTATATGCATTAATTCAGTTCCCCTCTGAGTCATGCTGAGAGTTGGAAACTCTTTTCACCACTAAGGGGAATCATTGGTCTCATTTGTGAGGTCGTGAATGCAATTGTTTGAACTATGCACCTAGTCACTCGTGCCTACATAGAAGTGGGGTGCTCATGTGCTGAAGTCTTTCTTCTTCAATTAGTGCGGGCTTTGGCTGAATCCTGCAGGTGAACATAGGCTGAAAAAAAGGCTAGTTGGCTCCAGGATGCTGTTTCGAGCACCCAAGACTGCCCCAAGCTCCGTTCCCGTGCCCCCCACACCTCCACGTTCGTTGGGCCTGAGGTTCCGCCGTGGGGACAGCACTTTGAAGTGGCTCATGGAGATCGTTGTGGCCACCGACGGGGTCGGGGAAACCCCGAGCAAGATGGAGGGTCGAAGAGGGTGTACCGTGGCATGCTGCCTGAAAAGACATGAATCATAAAGAGGTTGTGACTGAATCATACAACATCTGAAACTGACAAGGTCAGATGTTGAAGCGCTTGTCTCCCAGGTGGGGACTTACTATAGGTATCTAAAGGTTGTGATGCTACACAGTGTCTACATGTTGGGCTATGAACATGTTGGAAATTCTTTGAACATGTTGGGCTCTTCTTGTGCCTGGTCTTGTTCCCAGGCGCCGCAAGGGGAAGCCAGCTGGTTCTCCTTGAGCTGTTTGATGCAGCCACCACGGGCGTCCTTCACCTGGTCACTCGGGCGACATTCCGATGGTGGCGGGTGGTTACGGTGTTGCAAGTGGCGGCTACGTTGAGGAAATACTCTGACAGGAGGACTGTTATAATGCTATGCTATTGCTAAGCTATCTGAATTCGATCCTCTCCACACACTGTCAATTCGCAGTTTGATGTGAAATAGGTCGTTGAATAGCTCATGCAATCCATTCAATATCATTCAATCAACCAAAATGCGTGTTTCTTTTTTTATTTTGCAGCCTGCAGCGCCTGTTCCTGAACAGAGCCACGTTTTTCTTGGAGGTCAGTTCTTCAAGCTAGGATTCCTGTTAAAGTATGAGTGACCCTTGTTGCTTCAGTATGCAATCAGTACATTCAATGAGTGATTCATACAGCGGATACCCTTGATCTCCCCGGATCTCCCATTCGCCATCAAGTTCAGTATATGGTATACGGCATTGACCCCTGACCCGCGACCCAAACGGCCGACCCGGGGCACCTGTCAGGACCGAAAGGTGACTTGGATGAGGGTGGATGAGGGTGGATGGGATCTGCCTGGAGATGGGGTCTGAAGGTCACAGGTTTGGATGGGTTTTGACCTGGAGATGGGGAAGGTCACAGCTTTTTGGCCACACAGAACCCGAGTTTTTTGGCATGGTGTTCTTTTGACACACAAGATCACACGCGAGCCTAGCCACCCCAAGTTCAAGGCTTGGTGGAAATAGCAGTAATAGGCATTCATAGGTGAGGCTCTTTTTGGATACCATGTTTTTTTTGTTTTGGCTACAGTTGGGAAGGGCTTGCGAAGATTTTGGTTCAATGACTTCTGTACTCTTTCCTGTTTGACACCAGGCCATGCGAACGTTGCTCAGTCCCCCAACTCTTCTTGGACACCGGCAGCATGAGCAGAGAAAGCATAATAAGAATAAGTTAGTAGAATGGCCTTCAAGACTTGTTCAAGAATCTATGTTGGGATCACTATACTAAAACCACACTATATGTAGTTGTTTCATCACTAATTTGGATGAGACTTGTAGCAATTATCCATTGATTAGTTTGGAGCCGCACCTGTGTGTATATATATATATATCAATGTGTATGTGTGGTTAGTTGTGTGGCTGTAAACATGAATGGGCGTGTACCGTACTGCACACGTTGATAGCATGCTTGACATCCCACACCAGTGCAGTTGCAACCCCTCACGGCTGTTTCCCGCCCAGGTTGGCCACTGCAAAGCATCATGAATGGGAAGACATGGAAGCTGAAAGAGGCCAGCGGCTTGTGTGTTTGATTTGTAAAGATGGCGGACACCCGCAGAAAGAGCCACCCACCATGGATCCTAGTGACTAGAGGTCTCCAGAAACCCTGGTTCATGGCTAAGGCTGGTTGAACCGTTCCCGTCACAGTCACTGGGGTCGACTTTGGGCTCCAGGCATAAGATGTGCCAAGCAGGTGACAAGCAGCAGTAGCTATGCCTTCATTCGCCCATTTTCTTGACCAGCATAGCCGCATATGCCGGCCGTGTTACACAAGATGTGCCGACATATGCTTCAAAAAGAGTACCGAAGAGTGTTGAAGGTGTGCGGCAGTTGCCCGGACCCTACCTAATCTTGCTGATCAGGTGTTTTTGTTGGTCAATTCCTCTCGTACCTGGAAAATATGTGTTCAATATGTTTCTTGGTTCCACGGTTCCACAAATCCAAACCTACAGGATATGCGTCAGGCGATCAGGTTGTTCCAAGAGCAGAGGTTGCCGGGGTCGGATTCCGGTGTTTGACCTGCCGTGTTATCCAAGTCCAAGCCTTCAAAAGGGTGACCGATGGGAAGCCAGGTACCAAAGTGGAGGAGTGCTTCTACTACAGTGAGTTTGTTTTTCAGGATTTTTGTGAGCCTTTGCTGTTTCGCGGGCAAGAACAACGCCTAGCTGAGGTAATTCTGTGTAGTTCTGAGTTCTGACGCAAGACGAAGAGCGCAGTCACTTAGAGTGCGTCGCCTGTATTTGCCTCTAGAGTCAAGGGGCTTTATGGATTGAATTCCCAGGATGTTCGGAGCTCAGATGCTTTGGCCTCCTAGATCGCAATCTCAGATGCTTTGGCCTCCTACCAGTACCTCAACGAAGTCCTGGTGGTGATCACATGGACACTCGCCCATGATTCGGACCTCAAGTCCGGTTGCACGGGTTCGGACCACTCTCTTTCACACCACGTTAGGGACATATTGACATACACTGGTTGTGGGATCCGTGGGATCCATGCTGTCAGATTGGAGGGTTTCAGCGAGATGGATGACTCACGGTTTCCATATCCATATCCAGCTGGTCAGCTCGCCGATGACGTCCAGAACGCGATGACGTCCAGAGAGGACGAACGAAGATCGTAGCCTGTTTCTTCCAATAAAGGTTTGGGGAAAAGCCCTTAGGTTTTCCAAAATCCATATAAAAATATCTCCCCAAATCCCTTAATTGAACATCCTTGAGTCAATTGTGTTCTTGAAGTTTATTCAATCTCCAAAGATGATGTGACTCTAGAATCTAGACCTGGTGCCTGCAGTCTTCACCGCCGACATTGAACATGTTGGCTTAGGGTGTTGGTCGTGATAATGACATGTCTTTACGCTATGTGTATCTATGTTTTTGTATGTGGTCGGAATAATATGTCGCACTTGTTTGTCCACCAGCTCTCAGTCAATGAATTCATCAGTGCTCCTGGAACGCTGCCAGACCCTTACGACCTGTAGGGGTCCCCCAACGTATTCCTGCAGCTTGTTGGCCCAGAGGGCAGCCCCAGCCTGGGGTGGTTGGTTTTTGCACAACTGGACGATCCTGTAGGGCAAATGGGTTTGCGAGTACCTGGTACAGTTGTAGAGCACTGCATTCATCCACCGATGCCGCCGATCCCAGGAACGCTTTGCCCTTCTTGGCCAAGAACCCAGTGCAGCAGATCGTGATTTGATCTGATTGCTGGGTATGAGATCTGTCCATGGATGGAAATTTCTACGAATCACTTCTCAGCTCCACAGTCTCTGAGTCTGGCGAACCTTGGGTTTGATCTTGGGCTCCCTAGGTCCGTCGCACCACGGGACCCAGCCACTGGAAGCCCCGAACCCACCAGGACCATCCTCCATCCTCTTTGGGTGTCCAATGGAGATCACCGATTCTGCGGAGTTGGCATGGATTCTGAGGTCATTCTGGTCTCCACCCTTCTGTGCTGCATCTTGCTGGACCGGTTCATGAGGCCAGGACTGGATTCCAGATGCATTCCGCCGTGAGAAGCTCCAAATCAGACGACTGGCACCCCCAAAAGGGACCAGATCCGCTCTCAGATTCAATCATTCAATCAATCAATCAATCAATCTCATGTCAAGACTGTTTTGTTACTCCTTTTTGTTGATGACATTCGCCTTCACCAGCTTCTACAGCGAGGTCGAGGATCGCGATTTGGCCCAAAGCCTTGGACTTCTACGCCAAGGTGCGTGAGCTGCTTCTGAAGCAGCTCACCGGAGCACGTCCCTCCTGGAGCTCCATTAGGGTAGTCTATGGCAAAAAGCAACATATGCATCATTATGCATGTTCAAACAGTAGGCCGTACTGGATCTATTTCATTGTCCTGATCTGTGATTTCCGGAGAGGGAGTGTGGCCTTTTTGTGGAAGTGACGTCATAGAAGCACTGCGGGCACTGTTCAACGATGTCCAGTCTTGTATATGAATCTATCTCATGAGCTATATTGATGGGAGGTGAGTGTCTTCGGCGGCTCTGTGGTCCAGTTTTGGGATGAGGACGCGTAAACCGCTGCTTGTGCTGCCATAGACTCAAGGGTTTTGAGTCCTCTAAGGGTGATTTGTTCAAAGCTTGCTGGAAGGATCTAGGAACTATAGATGCTATGATGTGGTCAGCTTTGCTTTTCTATAGTAGAATTAGGGGTAGGATGTCCAACAATCCCTGACCATAGGAACTTATCAAAAGTTGTTGGCTTTCTGAAGCTGTTTTTGGTAGGTTTTTGTGGCTGATGCGCCGCACGAGCTGTTCGTCTTCTGCAGCAATGAGCTGTTCTGCGAAGGAGAGCCGTGTCTTCTACATCCAGCTGGCGCGAAAGCGGCTGCCAGGAGCCAAGTTACAGTCTCCGGAGCTGAGATGTTTTGCCTAAGAAGAAAGGCAGAGGAAATCACTCGTGTCATCAATTTCAATGGGAAAATCTTTGGAACTTCCTCATTCCAGGTGCGAATCATGAGAAACCAGGTGCGAAGAGTTTCGAGTTCATCCAATGATCATTGAATCATTCAGCGTTTTCATGATTCAATGATCACCTATTTGGCCTCCAGCTACTCCCTAGGCCAGTTTTCACAGTTTCTAGTTCATCCGGCAAGTGCTGGGCGTGGATCAGTCCCAGACTCCAGTCCGACCAGTCCCAACCTCCGTGGGTTTCGGCTCCCAGGTTGGGGCTCTTTTGGCCGTTGCAGTATGCGAACAGCTTCACCAGGCCATTGTTGTGCGGGGTGGTTTTCATGGTGAATGCGGTGCAGAGCACAGTGGGCGGGATTTTTGTATGGCTTGGCTTCTACCTATCTATCTATCCATCCATCCTTCCATCTATCTATCGATCCATCCATCCATCCATCCATCGATCCATCCATCCTTCCATCCTTCCATACATCCATCCATCCATCTATCTACCCATCGATCTATTTGTTTATCTATCTATCTATCTGTCTATCTATCTATCTATCTATCTATCTATTTGTCTATCTATCTATCTATCTGTCTATCTATCTATCTATCTATCTATCTATCTATCTATCTCTCTATCTAATCCAACCTACTCTAATCCAATCCAATCTAAACTAGAAACTATTCTAGCCTGATCTAATCTAATCTATATAATCTAATCTAATCTATCTATCCATCTCTATCTCCACTTCCAAGTTCCCAAAGTGCTGCACCTGCCGCGAAATTTGCACTTCAAGGTCCACAAAGTACTGCACTTATCACTAAATCAGCACTTTCAAGGTCCACAAAGTACTGCGCCTACGACGAAAACTACACTTCGAGGTCCACAAAGAACTGCGCCTGCCACGAAATTTGCACTTCAAGGTCCACAAAGTACTGCGCCTGCTACGAAAGCTGCACTTCAAAGACCGCACAGTACTGCGACTGAGCATGAAGCAAGCGGAGCATGAAGTGACTGAGCATGAAGCAAGCGTATACTCATTCGGCGACCTGACAGCTGCTGAAAACTACCTGTCTACAAGAGGAAATATCCTACCTGTCGTGCCTCCACCTCTGGAAAGAATGGTTGCAGGTGCTGCTGGAGGATTCGCCATTGGGGATTCGTTTCGCTCAGTGTATCGATTGTCGAATGAGATTATGTTCAGGAATCCACAGTATGATTATGGTCGTGAGGAAGAATCGTGGGACTTTAGATTGCTTCAGCTCCCTATGCTACTGGCTCTACCGAATATGTTGGACACATTGGAGCCAGTTTTGCTGCAAACGGATTTGCTGGTCTTGCAACCAGACTACTCTTGGGTGCTGAATCCAAGTGTTCCCGTTGAGGCAAGCAGCATGGTTCGTCTTGCTGGATCGAGAGTTCCTCTGACTCAAGCCAATCAACTCGTCGCTGTGAGCGCTGCAGCGCGACCCACTTCAACGAGGCCTGTCAATATGCTCCTGTACTTTCGCGGTTTGGCTCATGCTCAGACGCTTGCTGAGATTGAGGCTGTTTCATCAATGCCACGACAGAATGCAGCAACACCTCATGGTGGGCAGCGGTTGTATCGAGGAGCAGCTGCAGCTCCCCCTGTGCCAGCAGGTGGCACAGTGGGTCCTAATACTAGTCCCGGAACTCTGCCTGCACTGGATGGCTTCACTGTTCTTCGGGTGACTTCTGACTGATCAGCTTCATCAGCTCTGGAACGGAATCTCGCTACCAACTTCTTCTTGGTTGGGAACGCTGTGTCGTTGGAAACTGCTGCAGTCTTTTTCGTCTTGTGTGCTGATGGAAATCAAATCATCTTTGAGACAGACGCATCTGAGCCAGCTCCGGCAGGCCCGGGACTTGATCGTCAGAATAGTTTCACTGCAAGTATTATGCGATGGAGAGATTCTTGGCCTGGAGCGCCAGCAACAGTGGTTTCGACTCGAGCTTGGAATGAGATTAGATCACACTTTCCTGCTGTCGCACCAGCCCCTGGAGGAGGAGGAGCTCTTCCAGAAGTCATCCAATTGCCTGGAGCTATCATTCGCCACATTTGGGGAAATTTGACTTCTGAGGCATTGATGTCTCATGTCAGAATCATTGCCACCTTTAGAAGGGAGAGGACGAGCTTCAAACTTGGAGCTTATCTTTTGAGAGAGCTCAGGCCCTGCAGATATCTTGGCAATATGCAAGGACCACCTGGTGGTGCTATAGCAGTTGCGGGGATTACGCTCTTCCAGCGGCATACTATGTATCAGCTCCATGGATGGGGTCCTGGTGATGTGGTCGAAATTCCTGCTCCCGCAGCCTTTTGCAGCTCAGACGGCTGCACCGGCCACGATGCTCCTTCCATCCGGTCAGTGATGAACTGGGAGCATTTCTTGCGGGCGTCCCAGCGCCCAGTGCGCTGCTGGCTCGCAACCTTGCTACTGGTTTGGAGTAGCCTTGGATCTGGCTTACTCGAGAGCTGTCTGACTGCACCCGGTCCCAATTCCGGGCCCACCATTTTGCCTCGCAGCATGGATTGGCAAGTTTTGAATGGTGGGAAAGGGAAGGGTTGGCAACCTGCCCAGTGGTTGCCTGGAAGGGATATGATTTCCCATTCGTTAGGACGTGCTGTCCCTGAAACTCTGGGCATAGGGCTTGAAGATTCCCACGGGAAAAACACCACCCATGAAAAGATAAAGAAACGTAGTTTGAAAAGAGCCTATCGTCGGCTTGCCTTGCATGGTTTTGCTATGTATAGAGGGCAACTGATGCTTTCCTCTTTGACAAGTTCTCCACCGACGAAGCCTGCTGTTGTGAGTGGTTCCATGACATCCACCAAACGATCACGCAAGCGGTTCACTGTATTTTGCTGGAATGCCATGGCCTTGAACACCTCCACGTATGCAGAGATGATCCAATGGGTTGCCTTGCAAAGGTTTGATGTGGCCTTCATCCAGAGCACTCACTGGTCGATCAGCGAGCCTTGGAGTTCGTATGTCTACAGTATAATTCCATCCCCTGAACTCTCGAAGGATGGTGGTGGGTTATTGATTGTGGTCCGTACAGGGTTCTGCACTATGGATGCTCTGAGCTATCAGGATCTGCACCATGGACGACTCCTTCACGTCCGCTGCCACCTCAAGGATCACTGCATTGACCTGGTCAATCTCTACCAGTTCCCGGTGGGGCCAACTGCTCACAGACCACATCCCCTGAAAGCCAGACATGAACTGTGGACCAAACTCACTTCCTTGCTTAGACGTATTCCTGCCCGTCACACGCTTGTGATTGGAGGTGATTTTAACACCACAATTGGCCATGGTCCTCAACCCGGCTTTCCTGATGCCTCATGCTTACAAGAAGTTTGTTGATGAATTTCAACTGTCCAATACAAGAAAACATGACTCCATCCCTAGTTACTGTGGACCAAGGGGGTCGTCGACCATTGACTCTCTGCTCATGAGGAAGGTACAGAGTGATGCTGTATCCAAACGAACGAGGTGCCTACCAACCTGCCCGCTTGTTCAGGCACGTGCATATCCTGATCATCGTCCTCTGGTGGGCTCATTCCCGGCTGACTGGAAGATTTGGTATCAGGCCAACAAGCGGACAACAATGGCTCCATCGATGAACAAACATTCAAAGAATCTCATTCGAGCTTCCCAAGATCAAACTTCAGCATGGACCACCTTTGTTGGACAGGCTACTGATTTGATACAAGATGATAGCTCTCATCCGACCGAGTTGGTGAACAAGATCTTGAAATGTAGCCAGGCGGTGACATCCGATATTCCATCCCCACTACCAACATGGATGCAACATGAAACACGGTCCCTGGTGGGCCAGAGCACAACGCCCTGGTCTTCAAGGCATCCTGAGAGTTTGTTCCATTGGTCAGCCTTCAACAAACTGAATATCCAACTTCAAACTCTGTGTAAGCAGAAGAAGAGAAATAAAGTTCGACAGATCACTGACAATGCGGCTAGGGCTGCAGCTTTGCACGACTCTCGGGGTCTCTATGAAGCAGTACGGGCTTTGACACCGAAGCAGGCCAGAAGATGTATTAGGTTCCGTACAGATCAAGGTGGGCACCTGTGCAATGGACAGCAGAGGAACTATACCAACAACTCACCCGTGTCAAACCTCATAAAGCTGTGGCCCCAGGTACCTTACCTGGCGTGGTGGTCAAGTACTTGGCCTATCCGCTGGCACAATGGTTGGCAGCTTACATACAACAACATTGGCAACATCAATCCCAGATCCCTCAACAATGGAAAGACGCTCATCTCGCCCTTCTTGCAAAACGAACGGTACATTCACCTACATGGCCTTTGACTTCTGCAACGAAATTAGAACCCTGTGCCAGATGATCAGACCTGGTCCTTGGAGAACGACCTCAACCACGACGTCTTTTGGTGGGGGCCTCATTTTGACCCTGGATCTCAAACAGGCCTATGACAGACTACCACGGGAACATCTGCCCAAGGGTCTTGATCTGTGTGGATGCCCACCGGAACTTTCCACTGTTTTGTTGAGCTGGCTTCATCAGGCACAGTATCATGTCCGCCATCGAGGACTTGAGGGCAGTCTGACTCCTGAGCGTGGGGTTTGTCAAGGATGCAAGGCCTCTCCGCTTGAGTGGACGGCTTTCCTCATTTATGTTTGTCAACGCATTGGTGACAACATCACAAATGGTACACGGTCAGAGGCCTTCACCTGGATTTGTGAACATTTGATCACGTATGCGGACGATCTGCTGTTCAAATGGCGATTGTTGAGCAAACAACAGTTTACAGATGCCTTGCAACACATGGGCTGCATCCTTGACTGTTTAGAGGGCTTTGGATTGCAAGTTTCGTTTGACAAGACGGCCATTTTGGCTAAGATCGAGGGGACCGGAGCTAAGACCATCATGAAAAGACATACTGTTGTACAAGACGGCAAGCGCTGGCTCCGAATCCCTCGACATCATGGTCACTCCCTGATCCAGCTGACCTCCAGCCATACGTATTTAGGTGCGAAACTTTCGTTCCTCAATTTTGAGCAACTCACTCTGAAGCACAGGCTGCAACTTGGTAAAGTTACATATACCCGCGTGCGTAAGTGGTTTACTGGACGCCATGCACTCACCAGTCACGACAGATCCAATTTGTGGTCCGCCTGCATCCTTTCGAGCTATGCCCATGGCCTTGGAAGCAGTGGCCTACGACAGGAGGGAATGCAACTGCTGTGTAACAAGATTCATGCCAATATCAGAAGCTTGGCACGTTCTCCAAGCCACATCACACACGAGACCA